CGTTGTGTGACAACCCTAAGAACATCATGCAATGCTTATCACGTTGTGTGACAACCCTAAGAACATCATGCAATGCTTCACGTTGTGTGACAACCCTAAGAACAATTGAAATTAATTCTGTACCTTGAATCCATCTTTTCTGATAGCAAACATGACCTCAATCATATACTCCACCCTGCGATCAATCTCTCCGCTATGAAGGATGCTTCGAAGTCTCTCAAACACAGCTAAATGAAAGAATGGAAAATTGATTAAAACATTAACTGTATATAATTCTATGGATGTCCCATACAGTGGAGTCCTGCTATCTCAAGCCTCCTGGAGAACAGGGACAGGGAATACGTTCACAAGAACAGAGGTTTAAGAAATCAAGGGTAAATTAAATGGGAGTAAATAAGTTTGCGATAACTGGGGTTCAAGATAATGGGGTTCTCTTGTAACAAAGAAATAAGTTTCTAGTCATTCCAGTGATTTTACGTCTCCAGTAATTGGGGACACTTTTCACTCACACACACTACCACTACATTCAATGTTCTATGCACACAACACTCAACTCACATGTTGATTTTTATAGAGGGAGGAACCCGGAGAAAACCCTTGTAGCATAGGAGAGAACAACAAATCAAACAAACTCAATTCACATATAGTGTCTGCAGGGTTCAAACCAGTGGCCAAAATCTTTGGAACGACAGAGGTGATTCGTTAGCAGCGTGCATGCCAACAATAAACATCTGTAACAGAGTAAGAAGCTGTACATCAAATAGTCAGAATACATACCATGAACACCTCTTGGTGACACCTCAGTCAGCTTCATACCACATTCTTTGAGAAAACCAATCTAATAAAGCACATAGATTGAGGTTATTTATTGCCAGAGGTCTTGAATATACAGATTTTCACTATCTGGAGGTCTGTTAACACTAGCATATGGATAATTCCCAGTTGAAGTAATTCAATGACCTAAATAGATGACTATTAAGAACTGCTTTACAAAAAACATTCTGCATTTTAAGCATGTCATCACCAAGAAATTTTGATCTAAAAGCTAAAAGGGCAATAAGGTTGAGTAAATGTGGTCATTTACTCACAATTTAGATGCTACTGTATGATAATTGATAATTTTTATCTACCACGTTAGACTGCAAAGAAATATATGTTGCTTGGCAACTATTGGGCCATATAGATAAGTTTAAACAAGTTCCAAGGCATTTCCAATTTCCGTCCAAGTCCCCTTTTAAGATCATAGCCTGGAAATGTAGGTTGTTACTTACACCAACTTCTACACTGTCATCAGTGGGTTTGTGGAGCAGCAGTGTCAACACTTCAAGAGCAAGGATTTCATGTGCCTGAAACAAAATATGTGATGTTACTACATGTACACTTCTCTAAACACTTGAATTCTTTTCAATAAATGGATCCCCACTTATTCTTATTAGCCCCCCCCCCCCCAGTTCAATGTACAAGGTTTCTGTACAAGGTACACCCTTCCTTAAAATCGGAAGCTGATGATCTCAACATTGTGAAGGGGATGGGGGAAGTGATATAGTTTGTGCTGTGTTTGAATGGGACTTTGGAAGTTGAGTATGAGCCAATATGCATGATTGTATTACCATGGGATTGTATTACCATGGTAACAGGTTAACACATTTACACTTACAACTTGTTGATTGACCAGATGTGCTATGAACCTTGATGTGTTTAAGCACACAGCCTAAAACACAAACAATACCATCTAATTAATCAATGCAATGTGAAACAAACTATATTTCATGACTGAATATTATAACATGAAACTATAACTGGGGCCATTTTGAGTTTGCCTTTAATCATTCTTAGCTAAAAAACGGTGTACGGTTGTGTTCTTTTCTTTTATTAAGACCTATTCAAAATTGAAGCTAGAATTGTCTTAAAATAACTTGAGGAGAAGGTGCTGCCTTTGTAATAATATCTGCAAATGGTTAGACCTTCAAGTCTTCTCGGACAAGGACTTAAAATCGTAGGCCCTGTCTCCCAACCATTCCTAACCTACAGTAAATAGGGGACATAAAAGAACCTGTTGAATTATTTGTGTAAGAGTAGGGGATTGTCTCCTGGTTCAACAGCCTATGCATGTCTGGAGGCATAACACTAATGTACTAACAAATCACTCATGATTGTAAGCTGCACGGCTGCTACTGGTGCCTTAATRTGCAGCCCGTAAAGTCCTCCACTGGTCATTAATGTAAAGTGCATTGAGACGTTGTATAAATGCGCTATACAAGAACCTCCCATTATTATTATCATCATTTACCACTTACAACAGAACAATATTTTTGGCCACTTTAGAAATGAGCAAAAGACTGGGGCAATTTTGAATTTTAATCTAATTAGCAAAAGAGTTTCGTCATCTTATAAACCACCTCAATATTAGTAAGTCTGTGAAATTTCAACATGATTGGATAAAAAGAACCAGAGTAACAAGCCTTCAGTGTGAAAAATTTACGACAACACTTTTGAATAAGCCAATAATTTTGGTTCTTTTCATCCAATAATGTTCAAATAAATTGTCATACTTACTAATGTTGATATGCTTTCTCAAATGACAAACGTTTTTTCTAATGAAATTAAAATTCAAAATTTGTCGCAGTCTCTTGCACGAACATTTCCATGCACAACTGAGGCAAAGGCTGAGCAAAAAATAACTCAAAATGTGAGTCAATAAAACATACCAAATAAAAAATATATTGCATTAATATATAATTAAATATTAATTTTATAGTCAAGGAGTTTACATTACTTTATCATTTCTTCTAAAGGCCCTTCTGAATTGTAGAATCAATCTTCTTAAGATCAGCTCTCCATTTTTTGGAAACTATAAAAAGATAAAATTTAAAATGCCTTTAAAAATGCTCTGGAGTAGGTTGTGTGGGAGGGAGGGGTAGAGGGTCTAGTGAAGTATGAGATCAACCTCAAACAATCATACCTTAGTATTGATAATAGAAACTAATGCTGCATAGACATGGGTGAATGTAGGTGAAGCAAACTGTGCTCTGATGATGGACTGTGCTAGTAAACCTCTGCAGAGACAAGTAATCAACAATTAATTTTGTGACTTTGGACAACAGCCTTGTAGCTGAACAGGCCACCCTGGCAAAATAAAGTTAACAATATTTTACATGAATAACTGCTTTATCACTATTTTTGTTAGTTTTCCATTATCTTCTCTGAGAAGCTTACCTTCCTCTAACAATGTTTTCCTGAAAGAGTTCCCTCACGATGAAGCCAAGATTAGAAGTGTTGACCTAAAATAGTAAGTTGATATTAGTCAATGTTATGGGAGGCAAGATTTACGCAAAATTATGGTAATAATTATAGTCCTTTTTTTACTTCAGTCATACAATTTTTCAAGACTTTTCATCATTTTTTTCTTTTTCAGGGATGGCAGAGCACTTTCTTAAGTGGGGGAAGGAGGGCTAAGAAGCACTTTTTTAAGTGCAAGGTAATATATGTTTTTCTCCATACACAGCTGTTTGAAGTATAGAATTTGTAGTATTCTAGCCTGCATTCATGTCAGCGGTTAAATTGAGATCCCGTTTCTATGCAGTGCGCATTCATTGGTCTTTCTGAGAAAGCCGCTAGCTTAAATTAATGCATAAATTGGAGAAGAGGTTCAAACAGCCGTGCATAACAGAACRCAAACTATATATGACAAAATAATGTCATTCTTGAAAAATTGGGGGTTCTCTACCATCCCTATTCTTCCCCTCGTAAACAAAGTCGGCTTTCTTAGTAATAAATGTAGAATAAAAGAATCTTTCACTAGTTTAATAATAAAAAGGAATGATTTTACAATGTACCTTGTTGATCAAACCATTGATGCTCTTTTTCAGTGCTTCCCAGCTTATCCTCTGATAGGCTTCACTAATTATACATGAAATAATTAGTACAATAGTGGTATGCCTGTCTATATACATGTAATATCACATACAATGTAGCATGACAGTCACAATTTGATTTCACCCTAGATATCATTATATGAACAGTCAAACTGAGGTATAAAAACAGTACAGTATACACATGCATGCAAAGATAAAACTGATGAAGTAACAGAAATCAGACACACACAGACAAACAGACAGACAGTACTTTATAATTTTCATATAATAATGATGATAATAATGATGATGATAATAAGGCTTTGCTTCAAGAGGGTTGAACTAAACAGTTATAATAACTGAAAAACTTGTGGCACTTGAACATTTCAAACATTTACCTGCTTTTATCTGTGATACTTTCTTGCATCATCTTCAATCTTGCAGGAGGAATATAAGCACCACCTATCAACAGCAACAAACCAAACTTATAAAAGTGGTTTAAAGTGCGGACACGCTAACTGGAACCACTTGAACAAAATGTACATACAATTTTTTTTACAAAACACAAAGATACAGGAAAAAAACCATTTAGCCAATCAGAGGAAAGCAAAATCAGTATCATATTGACGTCAGCCAATTAAAATTTTTCATTCATGTTCATTCCAGGCTGGCTGCAATTTCTCCTTTGCTGTCAAAATCTCCCCTCCTTCTGACTAATAATATTCCAGAGAATAACGTTGGGATGTTTCGTATACCTGTTCTCATCAACAATGGGTTATTTTCCTTTTTCTTTGTATCTTCAGTTTTTCTTTTTTCTGTTCCTGTTTCTCCCTTTTGATCATTTATACCCTCTTCATTTCCATTTTTTTCTTTTTCACTGGCTTTTTTCCTATCATCTTCTGACTCTCTGTCTCTGGTTTGGTTTCTATCTTCATCGCCAGAACTATACGATCTCCGTCTTCTCTTATCATGTCTATATTTGTAGTCATCCTGATCATTATATTTTGTTCTTCTCCTTGACATCTCTTCGTCATCATATTTGTAGTCATCCCGATCATCATATCTTCTTCTTCTGGAGTTTTTTTCATTACCATACCCATCATTGTAAGATTCATCTCTGTTTCAAAAATATATGGCTATAGTGAAAAAATATGCACTGTGAAATAGTTGTTGGCCAACCACTTACTGATATCTTACCAACACATTTTTACCAACAGTTATATCCATCCCTTTGCCAACTGTTACAAACCACTTACTGACCACTTACCAACAGCTTATTAACCACTTACTGGCCATTACCTGTATTTTACAGTCCAAATGGTTAACTTGTAGCCAATATAATTATATCAAGTGAATTGCAAAAAGCATATACAATATCACTTGAAGTCTGAACCACCCCTGAATTCTATCAAAACCTGAAATGACTTGGACTTAAATCACTGAAATCTACTAACTCTCCAAGTTATTTCATGCAAAGTTATACATACCTTTTAGTATTGATAGGGGATCTGGATCGTGATCTTGATCTTGATCTACTGTACTCTTTCCTAGACTTTCTGGTTGCCTTTGGCCTCTAATGAACAGATAATTCATATACATTAAATTCACAGCTCAAAATAATAGTTAGTCAACAGATGCACAATATCTGGCCAAAAATGGGGCTTCTCTGGTCAAACCTCTATAGGCCATCACAATCACATCTATTACTGTAGGCCAGTTCTCTTGACCGTTCACATTGACTGGTCATGTGATGATTATTCAGATATTGCCAATCATCAAGACTGGTCATTGAGAACAATTATTTTTGAAATGATACCAAATGCTCCGATTGATGTTAATAATAATTTCATTAATTTATTAATTTCATAGTGCGCAAATATCTTTTTTTTTATGTGGTTAAATTTAAGCAAAGTTAACTGGGAGTGGAGTGCTGGCCAGTGGTGTGAGACTTGCGCATGCGCAGTTGCTGCCTAAGGCCTCGTGGTTGCTGTAGCTGAGTTGCTGTTAGCCATTGCCTTCATATCGCGGTTTTGCCCCGCCCACCCTCCTCT